ACTACATCCAGTTCCAATAGACAAGCGTAGGATGCAAAAATTATGACTGCATTGGAAATATTTCGAAAATGGTCTATCCACCATGTATTGAAACAGTTAGTATCAGGAGTCAAATCTGAATTTTATTATTATGGAAACATCCAAACAAGTGCAGGGAGATGTCGATGTCATTTTAAGAATATTTAACGGAGAACTTTTATGAACCAGGACAGAACCAAATCAGATCATATGAATCACAGACTTTCCTGGGGGGATTGTGGTAATAATGTAACAGTCTCTTATGGGGAACAATTTTCTCTATGAATTTTGAAATAATTAGCATCTATATTTTATCGTAAAAAGCCAATTTAATTCTAATTGCAGCATAGATAAGAAAATAGAGCAGAGAAGTTAAGCACACTCTCGTATGGACAAGTATATGCATGCAGAGTCTGAATGACATTAAGATGTTAGGATTGGGGGGGTTTGTGTTTGGCTGCGTCACAATAATGCCTCTGATCAGTCCCATCAGTAAACATTTCTGGGCAAAAGTACCAAAACCTGATGCAGAATTCTTTTAATATTATTTTTAACCCTTCATATGGACATTTTTTACCCACTGTGGAACTCCTTGTGCATACAACATGCATAAGCTCTACCCACATCAGTGATTCTCAAGTAAAGGAACAGTGAGGGCCACTCAAAGAACTTCAGTGTCTCTTGAAGTAGTTCATTGTGAATCTTGAGAAATACTTTAGATAATTCTCCAGCAGAAGCCAGCCTCTTTTTATTGTCAGTGTCTTGACTGACAATGTTATTACTTAAAGAAAATCCCTTTTTTAATATCAAATCAGAAAATTTCCCATTTGCTTCTGGGATGAATAAATCCCCGCTAATCAACACAGAATGCATTTGTTTTAGTCACTTGAAAAATCCACAGCATGAGTAAATTAACATGCCAAAAGAGGTAAGTAACACTATTTCTTCTTAGAAGTCTCACATTAATATTAGTCCTGTGTCAGATCCGTGTGTTCAGTTTACATTTAGTCATAGTCCATATTCTATTTTTGTATCACTATTACGTCAGCCTCAAAACCATCAAGTGCCAACTGAGGGTCTTCTAGATAGAAATTAATTTCTTTACAAGTAATTTCTCTTGACTAATTTCCCCACAGAGTTCAATAAAAATTTAATAAAGAGGAACAACTGATAAAGGGATCCATGTACTGTATGAATCTTCCTCCTAGCTGTGTTGTGGTTTAAGGCTGATATGGTACCTCAGACACTTTTTGATTTGCACTAATTTAGCTACCAATCAACTTCAAATCACAGCAATAATTATGAAGAGAAAGAAGTTTAGACGGGGGAGTTCGTTCCAGTACTAGGATGAAAGTAATTGTTCAGTTGACTGAAAAAAATGGTTTTAAGGTTCTGTGATGTACATTAGCCCTTAATAATTATAACATTTGCACACATGTGCAAAAAATGGAAGATATTCTACTCAAACCTGTTTGAGTTAAAATGTATTTATATGGTAAGAGCATGACAGTACAAAACTGTACTGCTAAGCAAATGTTTGGAAGGACAAAGTATAGTTGCTCTTTTAGAACTCTTTAGCAGTACTGCTGAAAAAACAAACACACACACACACACACACCACTAGACATGTTCTTTGACCTTGACAAACAAAGATTGTTTATAGGTCTCTAACACTGTCCACGAGAGATGTCTAAAACTGAAAAACAGGCCTGGTTTTGGCCACCAGAGATATGTAATGGCGTTATTGGACACATGCACCACTTTCTCTCTGTGGCACCTACATACTGAAGGTTGTTGTGTCAAAACAATGGCCTCCTTTAGAGTGTAATAAAGCTGGCTCGGCCTCTTATTTGTGCAACAAGATTCTATTCCTGGAACAATGCATTAGACCGTGATTATCATTTGTCAGCCAAAAGGAACAGAATTCCCTTTCAATCACTCAGAGGTCAGGTAGCAAGTCATTTTGTTGAAGTAGAGGTGAATATATACGTGAGCCTCTGTGTGTGTGGTGAACTCAGGACCTGCTTGATTGCCCAATTGCAAGAGACATTTATGGCAGGGTAAAACCTTGTGTAAACGTCATTTGCACCAGTTATTAGGAAGGTGTGGCAGATAGCTTGGAGCTGCAGTACAGCAGGGGTTCTGCCAAGCAAACGATTGATCATGGTAAGGTTAGAAGGCGGAGTAGATGGGTTGTCAGAACCCCGAAGATATTCAGGTCCTCATTACTGGGGGTGACAGTATCCATGACCTGCACGTTCAGCTGTGTCGCTTGAGTGCTCATGCACTAACAGCCAGGCTGCACTGTAAGCAGAGCCATTCTCTGTCCCCGTGAATTCTGTTGGTCCCAACAGATTGCCAGTGGGTTACAATTAAACTGGATTCCAAGTCCAGATTTAAAGTGATCACCATCAGAAATAAAAAGTATAGCGTAATATACAAGGATTGCAGAGCACAAAGTCAGTCTGCAAATCTTTCTTAAAAATAATTGTGGATTGCTTTAAAATCAGTGCAGCATTTGTTGTCAAAGAAAACTTGTTAACATGCTTGGGTGTCACTGCACAGTGGGGAATTTTTCTTGCCACCATCTTCCAAGGTTGCCTTTTAAAAAAAGCAAACCATTTCAGCTAGTGGTGAAAGAGCTACAAAGTTGCTTAGCACTTATAAATTATATTCATATATATATTGTACCTTTGTACAAAGCCTTCACAAGGTGAGATCAAGGATGAGGTTTGAGGATGCAGATGCATTTTATTAGCTGAAGAGTAGGGCAGTACTTAATAGTAAATTTTCTATTCTCGGTGGTAATTCACGACTTTGCTCGTTGCAGCAGTTAGTAGACAGTTTAATGTAAGGACTCTGTGTTTGCCTCATGAACCATAATTAACTTCCGAATTCGCGTATTCGTTGCAGAAAAATGCCTTGTCTTCCACAGCAGTTGCTTATAGTGTAAATAGAGAAATCAAAATGACTGTTTTGAGAGCCCCCTGTGTCTAGTGCGTGCCTTCAGAGGCTACAGGACTTCAGGAACAGAGATGAATGGACACAGAAGCGAGTGCAGCCGAGTGAATCCGAAAATCCTGCTGACCGACCTGTATGTGTTTTCTCCACGGGGGCAGAAAGAAGCGTGACTGTGAAGGGAGAGACGTAACAACTCCCTACCTTCCACAGCTCCTTCTGTGGGGGGGAGACTGTGCGCAGACTTGTGCTTACTAATTAACTTGCCAGAGAAGAAAATTCACACAAAAGAGAAGAAGTCTCATTTCTTATCGTCTCGGGGTTTTTTTCCTCACATGCATGCAGCGACACTGAGCACTTAAAGCTGACGTTAACCCGTTAGCGGCGAGACGCAGGAGCTGCCACGAATAGATCCAGTATCCACGACCCCGGTCGGCTGACCGGGATAGGACCTCGTGTTCCTCTCGCACTGGACTCGTATCTTTCCCCCCCTCCTTCTCTTCTTTTACTCCTTGGGCTGGTTCTAACTCCCGTTTTGTGGCTGTTAATTACATGAAGTGGATTGTTGTGCTCGCTACAAACTCAAACCGGGACTAAACGTTGTGGTAGAGAGACGGAGAGAAATGCCAACGGCGGTGACAAAGAGGAGATTCAGTAAGTGCACCGTTATCTCTGTCTAAATGTCCCCCATTGAACTTGAGACGCGGCTTTTAGCAGTGCCGTTAAGTTGCATAACTTGCGGATTTTTTTTATTGTTCAAACGCTCACGAATTTGTTTGTTAAAAGTGGAAACACTTAGAAAAAATGACATTAAAGGTGCACAACGTGAACTGCTGTCGTTCCGTCTGGGGGAAAAAATGGGGCTCCGACTAACCTCGGACAGCCACGCACACAGTTTGTTGCTGTTTTATACATGCTAACTCTAAATGTATAGCTAACAGCAACTTTTATTTCAGTGCCGAATGAGAGCGACTAATATGTGGTCCGCTTGAGAGACGGTCCAAGAAATATCCTGCCTCTCAGTTCATAAAGAAAGCTACCCACTCAGATGTAGGTAAAAGGGAAAAGATGAGGTGGAATATTAATCTCATTTTTTCCTTTTCTTTTTTTGTAAGCGCAAACCTGCGCATTTCATAGATTGCATGCACTTTTCAGTGAGCAGGAGTATTCGCAGGACCGAAATCTTCAACCATGCTGAAAATCTGTCGACAATTACTAATGAAAGAATAAACGGGGGGAGCAGTGGTGGTCTTTGGGGTGCGAGCCCATCGTCACCCTGTTTTTCTTTCTTCTTTCATTCCTTGTTTTTCGCAGGGTGTGTAATTGCGATGCGGTGATTTTGATCCCATTTTGATCATTACATTAAAGAACGATTTGCCCGGAGGTCCTAGCTGTCTCCAGACCTGGCTTTTTCACTTCGCACGAGCGTGCATGAGTGCGCGGGCACGTCGGTGAGTCCTCACCCCCCCTCTGGCATATGAAATCTTTGCTCTGTCTTTATTTATCATTATCAGACAGGTCGGTGAGTCCTTGTATGCCCATCAGTTGCAGAGGCTCCTGTCATGTGTGTCTCATCCGTCACACTTGCTGCAGCACTGGCTGCAGAGGAAGGTTTCATGTCAAGAAACTGCTCCTTGCAGCTCTGGCAAGAAAAAGAATAGATTTCATCACCAGCCCTTCATGACAGACTTTAATTGTGGAGCAATTTTTATGACAGCATTTACAATTTGCAGGTGCGCCACATCATCTGATAACCTAGAGGCCAGTTCAGATCGTGAACAGATGTTAATTGGTTTCTCACTGGGTGGATATACAGAAAGATTCCTCAGCATTGCATCAATCCCTCGCCCCGGTTGGGTTTATTTAAAGAAAGGATTGGAAGCAATTTTGCAGGGTTGGTTATATGCTGAAGTGGGCTCATGGCCGTGCTTTATCAATACACGAATCCGTTTAAAGCTGTCACAGACACAATGAGGAGAGCTAACCATGAGCCACACTGTAACAGGATGATACAGGGTGAGTTAGTTTCTTGGAATTGCATCAGAGGCTCTCTGCAACCAAATCCTGGGCCGTGCTGCATGTTTGGGTTTCTAACTGCCAGCTGAAAAAAAAAGTGACACGGTGTATTTCTATTCCACATTTGTAGTGAGCTGTCCTATAGATGGTGTGTGGCTTATGCATATAGATTATTTTACCAGCAAACATACGGATTTGTCAAACTTGGATGTCATTGCTTTCCCAAAGTAGGTGATCCTGATGGTGCTTCTGTTTGGCTCCATGTTTCTGAATTATTCTGGTGGACAGACATCTTATCAATTAAGCGTGTGTTGACAGAGCTGGAGCGTTAAGATTTTCTTCAAATAGCTTTGGATGGATTGTAAGGAAGTTAGAGTGGTTTTTGCTGTGTTTATCTTGGCTCATTTTCTGTTTACTCTATTTTTTTGCGAGCTGTGAAAGCTATTGCAGAATGAATCTATATCTTTTTAATGCTTTCAGTGAAGTGTGTTTGTATTTTTGACCATGGTATATGTTTGTTTGAATGCTGACACACTCCCACAAGCCATTAGGCTTAATTTAACCCCCCCCCCCCATCAAGAAAAGACGTGACTTATTTGACTGTGATTGCCGTAGGATTATAGTCTGGCCCACCATTGCTTGCTTGTTTTGTTTTGGATTTTTTCTATGTGTGTGTGTGTGTCAGGAGCCTGTGCAGGAAAATATCCTAGGCCCTTTGGAGGTGACGTCATTGTGCACACTGAAATTAAGTAGTTCTTATTACTGAGGTCAATCAGCTCTTTGCTAATTTCTTTGCTGATTAAAATTCATTGTTTTATTCTACAGTTTTCAGAGCAGATATTAAAAAGATCAAAAAACATCAGCTAAGAAAACGGCTTTGGTTAAGATACTTTTGGTCAGCTTGAACTGCACTGTAGACAAAGATGTGCTCTGCAGTGTTTCCCACAGAATTAGACGGGGTTTGAGGTATGTAAAGGATAAGAGATCATTACTTTGCTGGTTCTCCTCCAGTCGTTCTCACATCATTTGAACTGACTTCATCTTAATTGTTTGGAACTGCAGGTAGAAACAATGACTTCTGTCCTGCTCTCCAGCGTCAGCAAGTTCAGCGTAGCAGCACCAACAGGTGTTTCCCACCTGCTGCAGGTTCTACTTCAGAGTGACCGTTTAGCTTCAGAGCAGAACAAGAGCTACAGTTGGCAGATGCAGTCAGAGATGGTGGAAGGTTGCTGAATGACATTGAGGACCACCACAACAGCGATCTCTCAGAGGGAAAACATTAGACAGGAAGGGCCAGGGCTAAATGGCTAGTAGCAACTGAGCTTTCAAAATAAGAGTATCTATAAATAAATGAATAAAAATTTTATTTACAAAATATTGCAATACTTGGACAGTCATTAATATACCTACACAGCTTGCCTAAGTGTGTGTTTTTAGATACACTTTAGTAAGCCATTTTAAACCCAAATTCTGAGAACAGGATTTGTGACATCGCATCGAGTTTGGAAGATAATCCTTGTCCACTGGGAAATATACAGTGTTGTCCAGAAACTTGAAGCTCGCATTGCTGATGAGAATGGGCTTTTGTGATGAGGGGGACATCTTGCATTCAGTGGTAGCGATGCACCGATCGATGTGCTGGTAATCTGAATCGGCTGGCTTGCTGCTGATTTAAGCTGACACTCACTTTCTTTTCTAGCAAGGGAATTTAGGTTTATACTGCAGAGGAAGTTTTGGTGCCCACCCAAGGAGGTTTCATCCAGGTCTGAAGAAAAATCCACTTTCCTTTTAAAGATTGGAATACCTAGCATGTCACTTCCTCGGGTGTGATACTCAGGTATTTGTATTAATCAAAAACAAGCAAATAAACAACACAAAACAGGAAAATGCAAAGATTTAAGTTGAAAAAGATAAGGGAGTGATTGGATTTACCCCCTCCTCCACCCACACACACACGCACACACACACACACAAAGCCAGGAAAAAAACAAAAAATTTGATTTTACAAATAAATCACATTAAATAAAAGTTATTTTATTAAAGCATGGTATTTCTATACATCTAAAGCAGGCCTGTAGGCAATCATTATCAACATGATAGTTTCAGGTTTTAGGTATTCCTTTAAATGGTGGAAAGATGTCACAATTAAATTAGCAAGGACACACACACAAAATAAAAGTAACGATACTCTAACCTGCTTTTAAAATATTTGAGTGAAAAATGAGGTTTTTCACTGAGGATTTACTTTCCTTTTCATGTTGTTGATTTGTTATGTTTGTTGGCCTCAGTATATCTTTGGCCTTTGTGGGGATCTGTGTATTCTCGTGTAGGGTATTTCCTAGCAGGCCTGGTTTGGGGCTAGTAGCCAGAGCATCTGCCTCAGCTCCCTCATATGCCGGTACTCCCTGGCAGGGGCTGGGCTGAATGGCACTGTTAAGGAGCTCCAGCTCCTCTGTGGCCACACACTGAAAAACCACTCGGCACAGCCCTCTCCCCGCCGATGCTTTCTCATGCTTTCAGTATGGGTAAAATCTTGGTAATTTCAGGGCCCTGAAGTTCTAATGAGAGGTTTTGCCCATAGTGCGTTGGTCTGTGGTGGGCGGGATCAGCATTTCTCAGGTTTATAGGGGATTATAAGTGTTCTGAGATGCCTCACTGGCCCACTGTCAGGGCGTTGGCACAGAAAAACCAAAACTCTTTTTTTTTTAACCACTCAAACTGGTTCAAACTGGTTGTGATGTGTTTCTGGCACAGAATTTGTTTGTCTGTAAGCTAAAGTTTACAATCAGAGCTGCAAATCAGGCCAGTAACTGTAGGTATAAGGGTTCAGATTCACATGCACATATGAGGTGTGCTGATTTTTCCGCCTAGGGGATCAGGATATGTTGCCGTTGCATCTATGGGGATGCTGCAAGCAGCAGCTATTGTCCTTTTTAGCATCCCATCCCCACATAGAGACAGGGTGCTCTTAGTAGCACGCATGGTGGATTTTTAACAATGCCTGTTCCTTAACGTCAGCAGCATAGAGGCAAAGAATGATTTACTACTCTGTCTGCAAGGGTAATGTAGGAGCAATTTGACTGCTGATTGAAACCAGGTCTACCATTTCAGAGTCCACTGGTGGCATTATAAACCATTTACACCAATGTTTTACAGGGCACCTCTGCATTTGGAAAAGTGGAAACAGACACAGGGGCTAAAAATGGCCTGCTCTACCATATGCCCCCCTTTTTTTTTTATCCATTCCTTGTGTGGTTTGTTGTTTTTTACTTCAAACTATGTGAGTGCTACTGAGTGGAGTAGTGAATACAGATGACATTGAAAGGTCATATGTTAGGTTAATCAGTTCTGTCTGTTTTCATTTAGGCAGTCGGAGATATAGGGGGTCCATCTGCTTTTGATTAGGCAGCCTTTTCCCTAAGTGGTAAAGCTTTTCTCTCCAGCTGCTGAGAGTGAATTAGAGCCATGGTCCAATTTGTTTGTGGAGACCTATGGACATGTATGCACCTTGACTTGCACTTGTGTATACATAAAACATCGCTATTACTTAAATGGACCAAGCGGCGTCGATTGAGTTTTTACTTTGAAGCACAAATCGACTCGTTCCACAGTTAAAGTGTCACTGAAGAGCAAGAAAA